GAGGCAGAAGGATCACCTGAATCCACAGCCTCCAAGGTCGAGGCTGTGGAGGCTGTGAGTGTGCCACTGCATTCCAGCCTGGGCAACAGAGTGAGATTCTGACTCAAAAAAACAAACAAGCAAACAAAAACTTATGGCAGAAACAGAACATATGTACTTTAAAAATACAAATAGAACCCGGGCTCGGTGGCTCAGCCTGTAATCCCGTGCCTTTGGGAGGCTGAGGTTAAGTGGATTGCCTGAGCCCGCGGGTTCGAGACCTGCCTGGGCAGCGAGACCTCATTTCTACAATAAATCAAAAAATCAGCTGGACGTTGTAGCGCATACCTGTAATTACGGCTACTTGGAAAGCTGAGGCGGAAGGATCGCTGGAGCCCAGCAGGTCGAGGCTGCAGTGGCTGGGAGTGGCCACTGCACTCCAGGCTGGACGACAGAGTGAGACTCCAACTCAAAAAAACAAAATACAAATAGAAATGAGAAAATAAAATATTGATCCCCACATTATTTCAAATCTTTTCTATGCATACTTAATATATGTGTCTAAAAATGAAATTATATTGATCTATTTTCTGTTACCTCTTTTCACTCAGTCATTTTTACCCTTTTTTTTCAGTAATTTTTGTTTCAGTAAATTTGTATCTCATCTTATGCATAGATGACTTTCAGTTTACCCCAGTTATCCCCAAAATATTCTTTTTTTTTTTTTTGCGTCAGAGTCTCACTCTGTTGCTCATGCTGAAGTGCAGTGGCACGCTCATGGCCACCACGCCTTGACCTGCTGGGCTCAGGTGATCCTTCCACCTCAGCCTTCCAAGTAGCTGGAACTGTAAGTGTGCACACCTAGCTAATTTTTTGTAGAGACCAGGTCTCGCTAAGTTATCCAGGTTGGTCTTGAACCCCTGGACTCAGGCAGTTCTCTCACCTATGCCTCCCAAAGTGCTGGGATTATAGGCATGAGCCACTGTGCCCAGCCATCCTCAAAATATTCTTTATAGTTGTTTGTTCCACCTTAGCATCAAATTCTGGACCAGACATTATGTCTGACTGTTCTGTCGCTTAAATCTCACTTTCTGGATTTGACTGATTGCTGCCTCCTGGTCTTCTTTAGCTTGTGTCCCCAGCCCCTGTTAAACATTTGAGATAGAGGACATCATGGCTGGTGTGGCCTTCGTACTGGTCACACACATGACATCTGGGTGGTCCCACCCTAAGCGAGGCTAAGACTGACCTCTGTGTCAAGGATGCCCTCTGATCTCTCCATCATGTGGGGTATTCCCCCCTGACCTGACAGTAATCTGTTCAAATGATGAGTTCTCCGTCAACCAAATGGTTTTAACACTAATTGATAATCCTTGCCTAAATCAATAATTTCATTAGAATTTACTGAAAAACGCCTTCTTCCTCCCAGTTCTTTCCGTCTTCCATTCTATGAAGTGGAACTTCCCTCCAATCAACTGCTTGATTATTATGAAACATAGTTCCCACTGAAAAGCAGGATAAGTGCTAATTCTTTCCCTTCACCACTTTTCAAGGTGAGATGTCATCTCAAATGTCACCATCTCAAATAGTGACAAAGTGACTGTCAGAGAATCATGGATTTTCATTGATTCAATGTGATCCAGCCTGCTATAATTATTATATCTGATTCTCAAATTGTCGTAACTTTGATTAGTGGGACCCTTTCAGCATAATTCCTGTGCCCTTTTGACATGACTCTTGGAAGTCTCCTTGGTTTTTGGCAGAACAAGAAATTGCAGGCTCATTTTGTTCATTTCTCTTCTCAGACCTGGTAGCTTTTGGTGAACGATGGTGTTAGAAACCATGGTCTGGCACTGCAATTGTTCATTGTTATTGGTGGAAACAGTGCTTTGGGGCCATTTCCATAGGCATAGTTAGGAAAAATATACATATTTTAAAAACCATGTGTTATAATTATGATTATTATTCAAAAATATTTGATTTTATAATTCTCACACTGAAAATCTTGATATCTAGCATATTATTATTTTCTTATAGACTCTTTTACCATAATATAAAGAAAATAGTTTCAAAATGCCAGTAGCAATATTTTTAAAAAATACTAAAACTACTGAGTGATCTTTTCTTTGTGTGTGTTTGAGAGGGTGGGGATGCTAAGCAAGAGGGTGACAAAAAAGGATAGTTGCTTTTTTTTTTTGAGTCGGAGTCTCACAACAGCAGAAGCCACGCACAGCCACCACGGAGGCCACAACAGCAGAGGCCACTCACAGCCACTGCAGCCTCGACCTGCTGGGCTCAGACAATCCTGCCTCAGTCTTCCAAGTAGCTGAAACTGCAGGTGCACGCAGCCACACCCAGCTAATTTTTCTTGATTTATTGTGGGGATAAGGTCTCAACAAGTTGTCCAGGCTGTTCTCGAACCCCTGGGTTCAGGCAGTCCTCTCACCTTGGCCTCCCAAAGTGCTGGGATTATAGGTGTGAGCCACCATGCCTGGCCAGGATAGATGCTTTTAAAATTCCCCTGCCTGCTGTGTGGAGGATAGAGATTTATGAGCGCTAAGATGACGGTAGTTGGAACAAGGGTGGTGGCAGTGCTGATGGAATGGAACCAGTTCAGAATACATTGTCCTTTGGGTTCTACTATTCAGTGTTGACTTTGTGGTTTTATACTGGTCCCTTCCATGCTCCAAGCGGGTAGAAATGGGCCCTCTCCCAGGCTTCTTCCAGCCCTGCAGTTCTAAGGTGGCTTCCTCCTTGACTTGAGTGAGCACACACTGCATGTTGCTCAGGACTCTCCCCTCCCCCCCAGGACCTCATGGTCCGGAACGACTCCCCCTGTGGTACCACCATTGGGCCTATCTTGGCTTCTCGACTGGGGCTGCGGGTGCTGGATTTAGGCAGCCCCCAACTGGCCATGCACTCTATCCGGGAGACAGCCTGCACCACAGGAGTCCTCCAGACCCTCACCCTCTTCAAGGTAACTCCCACTGTAGCCCTCTCCATGTGGCTGGGCTCCTTATCCTTCTAGTGCCTTGGGTGGTTGCTGGGGCAACATCACCATCACCAAGTGGCTGGCCTGGGTGATGGGGGCTGGTTGTCATGGGGCAACCATGTAGGAAAACAAGGGTCCCCATTCTTTTCAAGGCTTAGGGGCCCTGACCAGTCCCTAAAGGAAGATGAGGGGATGGAGAGGGGATCAGGACTGGGGCAGTTGTCAAGCACAGATGAAACCTCTGCTCTTCCCGTGCTGGGGCCTGTGTTGGTGGGAGGGGCGTGGCAGGGCACCTGCATCTGGTCACTTACTAATTCCAAATTCCTTGTTGCCTCCCATTGTAGGGCTTCTTTGAGCTGTTCCCATCTCTGAGCCGTAGTCTCATAGTGGATTGAGCCCTTTTGGAAAGACTTCTCTTCTCCCGCTTTGTACTTGAGAGGAGAAGTTCTCAGCTGAGCTGGAGCTGGATTATGATTAAAGTGGATTTTTCACTCAAACTCTCCCTGCTGTGCTTATTTGGAGACCGGAGGAGTGGGAGCTGAGCCTGGCTTGAACTTTTGAAGCCAGAACAATTGGGGGTGCGGTAGGGAAGGCTTTCTTTTGCTGCTTGCCTGCAGTTTTCCACTCACATGGCTGTTGGCAGTGCTAGGGATTCGTGCTCCATACGCAGAGTAGATCTAACCAATAACTGGCAAAATTCTGTCTGATCACCCCAGCCCCTCACATCTTCGGTGAGATAACTCTGAGATGTGTAATTCAAGCTGGCTTCCGGAGTCTTTCCGGCAGAATTCAGTCCCAGAATTAGGCCTGATAACACCTCCCCTTTATAAGCTGCCTTCCATTCCTTGTCTCACTCCCCTCTTCCCTCTCAGTGTTTTCCTTCACCTCCCAGTAAACCCTTTGCATTCAGATCTTGTCTCAGGATCTGCCTCTGGGGGAACCTAAACTAAGAATTCTTTTGAGTTTGAGAATTAGACAAGGGTATCTGCTATTCTGTTACTAGTCAACATTGTACTGTCCTTAGCTATGTTCCAATGCAAGAAAAGGAATAAAAGGTAGTAGTGTTAGAAAAGGAGGAACAAAAGTTCCTTTGATATGATTTATTATGTGGAAAATCCAAAAACTCTACAATTTGAATTAATAAGAGAGTTTATCAAGATAGCTGACTGAAAAAAATCAGCATACAAAAATCAATTTTATTTCTATATACCAACAATTAATGGGTAGAATATGAAATTTTTAAAAGGTTTACTTCTACAAAGCATAAAAATCAAGTACCTGTGAATAAATACAAAAGGTATTTAAGGTATCTACAGAGAAACTTTTATGAAACAGGTCCAAATGATTTGGAAGATATATCTTGTTCCTGGATGTGAAACTCAATATTGTAAAATATCAGCTATCAATATATAGATATATGCATTCAATGCAATCCTAATAAAAATGTCAACAGGTTCTCTCCTCCTCTTTGTTTTTGTTTTGTGGGAGTTGACAGGCCAATTCTTTGTTTTTTTTTCCCCATGAGTCAGAGTCTCACTCTGTCATGCAGGCTGGAGTGCAGTGGCACACTCACGGTCATCCCAGTGTTGACCTGCTGGGTTCAGGCGATCCTTCCGCCTCAGCCTTCCAAGTAGCCGGAACTACAGGCACGTGCTACCATGCCTGGCTAATTTTTTGATATATTGTAGAGACGCGGTCTCAAGCCCCTGGGCTCCCAAAGTGCTGGGATTACAGGCTTGCGTCACCATGCCCAGGCCAATTCTTTTTTATAGCCAAGATTTGAGCTGGGCACAGTAGTTTACTCCTGTAGTCTCAGCTACTTGGGACGCTCAGGTGGGAGGATTGCTTGAGCCCAAGAGTTCAAGACCAGCCTGAGCAACATAGATCTCATCTCAGAAGGAAAGTATAAAATTTTGTTTGAAGAAAACTGCCCTACCAACTGTCCAAGCTTATTACAAGGCTAAAGCAATTAAGGCAGTATATTATTTGTTCAAGGATAAATTGACCAATAGAACAGAATAGAGACAAATCAATATTTGATACTTGGTTTATAACAAAAGTGGCAACTCAGATGGTCTTTTCAATAGATTGTGTTATGAGAATTGGGTATCCAGGTAGAAAACTGAAATCAGAATCCTACCTTCTATACTACACAGAATCAATTGTAAGTGGATTTTAGACCTAAATATAAATGGCAAAACAATAAAACTTTTAGAAAATACCTTTATGATCTTGGTTAGAGGAAAATTTAAACAGGCTACAAAAAAACACTAAGCATAAAGGGAAATTTTGGCAATATGGCCTCATTAAAATTAAGATATAATTAAGAGAATTAGAAAACAAGTCAAAATGAAACAAGATATTGCAATACATATAACTGACATAGGGCACATATTTGAAGTATATATAGACCTACAAATCAATAAGGAAAGTTAGACATCTAAAGGAACAATAGCTAAAATACTTGGACGGTAATTTCACAAAAGAGGAAATGCAAATGACCATTAAATATATTTAAAATGTGCTCAACCCTACTTGTCATTAGAAAAATATTAGGCTGAATCATGTAAAATTGTCTGACTATTTTGACCTATAAAATGGTAATTTTATATGTTTTAACTTAATTTAAAACATGATAAAAACACTGCTACATACTCATTATAATAACTAAAATTTTAAAATCTGACAATACCAAGCACTGATGAGGATGTGAAACAATGAAAACTCGCATATAATATTAGTGGAAGTGTAAGTTGGCAACAGCTTAGGATATCAGGTTGGCATTATACCCATTGACCCAGCCATTATACTCTAGGTGTACACCCTCGATAAATGCATTTGCATGTGTACCAGGAGACATGTACAAGAATGTGCATAGTAGCACTGTTTGTAGAGTCAAACTGTAAATGACCCAAGTGACCATAAACAATATAATGAATATTTGGAAAGATTCCAAGTTTGCTTGGCCTGAAAAATATACAATTTGAGAATTTTCTTTAAATAGGAAAATTCAAAATTACAAATATAGCATGAAAGCAAATATACAAAGCAAATACAAATTCAGCATGAAAGCAAATATTTAGTTAGAATGAGAACAAACATTTAAAGAAGAAGTAACGCCAATTCTTCACAAACTCTTTCAAAAAATAAAAGAGGAGAGAATGTTCCTTAATGCATTCTATGAGACCAATATTAACCTGATACTAAAATCAGATAAAGATATCATAAGAAAAGAAAAAGGAAGGAATTCATCCCTTATGGATGTAGATGTAAAAATCCTCAACAAAATAGCAAACTGAATCCAGCCATAAATAAAAAGAAGTATAAACCACAGCAAAGTGAGTTTTATGCCCAAAATGCAAGGTTGGTTCAACATATGAAAATGAATTAATGTCCTTTAAGCTGGAGCTGCAAAAAGTAAAATAAAGAAAATTAATTAATGTAACACACCATATTAATAGGATAAAAAACAAAAAACATGTGTTCATCTAAATAGATGCAGAAACAGCATTTGACACAATCCCAAACCCTTTCATGATAAAAAATAGTCAACACTTAGAAGTAGGAGAGAGTTTCTTTAACCTGATCAAGGACATCTATGAAAAACTCACAGCCAGCCGGGCTCAGTGGCTCAGCCTGTAATCCTGTGCCTTGGGAAGCCGAGGTGAGTGAATTGCCTGAGCCCTTGGGTTCGAGACCCACCTGGGCAACTTGGTGAGACCTCATCTCTACAATAAATCAAAAAAATTAGCCAGGCGTGGTAGCATGTGCCTGTAGTTCCAGCTACTTGAAATGCTGAGGCGGAAGGATCGCTGGAGCCCAACAGGTCGAGGCTGCGGTGTCCCGGAGCGGCCACTGCACTCCAGTCTGGGTGACAGAGTGAGACTCCAACTCCAAAAAAAAGAAAGAAAAATTCACAGTTAACATCATACTTAGTGGTGAAAGACTGAAAGATTTTCTTCTGGCATCAGAAACACTTCTATTCAACATTATAATGGAGGGTCTATCCAAGTCATTAAGGCAAGAAAAAAGCGTAACTAAAATGAGAAAATATAACAAATTACTTAGCAACATACAAAAACTTTTTGTTATGTTAACACATTGCTATGGCTCCTTCCTGAGACTTTGAAAGGGTCTATGAGAATAAAGACTCCTGAAGTTGAAGATTCCTTGAAGTTTCACAGTACAAGCACCTCCAAATGTCAATGTAATATAATCACACAATGAAAGACTATACAGCAATATAAATGAATAAAATATAGTTACATTCAAAAATATGGGTGAGCCATTAAAATATAATGTCAAACAGAAGCCGGCACAAAATAATACATACTGTATGTAGTATGTTGAATAGCAGCTGCCTGAAATCTTAGACTGTTGTCCTAATTTGAAAATAAGGTGTTGGCAGATGTAATTAGTTAAGGATCTTGAGATGAAATCATTCTAAATTTAGAATAGGCTCCAAGTTCAATGCCTGGTGTCTTTAGAAAAGAAAGGGATTTTGAACACCCAGAGATGGGAAGAAGGCCTTGTGAAAATAAAGACAGGCTGGGTGTGATGGCTCATGCCTGTAATCCCAGCACTTTGGGAGGCAAAGGTAAGAGGATTACCTGAGCCCAGGGGTTCGAGACCAGCCTGGGCAACATGGTGAGACTTCAGCTCTACAATAAATCAAAAAATTTAGCCAGGTGTGGTGGCACACACCTGTGGTTCCAGCTACTTGGAAGGCTGAGATGGAAGGATCACCCACCTGAGCCCAGCAGGTCGAAGCTGCAGTGACCATGCGTGTGCCACTGTAGCAATCTAGCCTGGGTAACAGAGTAAGACTCCAAAAAAAAAAAGAAAAGAAAAGAAAAAGAAAGGCAAAAATAGAAGTGATGCTGCCACAGGTACATCAAGAGCCACCATAAGCTGAAAGAGACTTTCCCTAGAGCTTTTGGAGAGAGTACAGCCCTGCTGACACCTTGATTTTTGACTTCTGGCCTCCAGAACCATGAGAGTATAAATACCTGGGGTTTTGTTGTTTGTTTTGTGTCGAGGTCTCACTCTGTTGCCCAGGCAGGATTGCAGTGGCACAAACATGACTCACTGTAGCCTCAACCTCCTGGGCTCAGGCAATCCTTCCACCTTAGCCTCCTGAGTAGCTGAGACTACAGGGACAAGCCACCATGCCTGGTTTTGTTTATAATATTATGTTAAATGTTCAGGGTCCACTTATGAGTGAGAACATGTGGTAATCAGTTCTTGTTTCTGTGATAGATCACTGAGTATTATAGACTTGAAATCCATCCAAGTTGCCATGAAGTCCGTAATTTTGTCCTTCTTTATATCTGTGTGATATTCCATTGTGTATATATACCACAATTTTTTTATCCAGACCCATTTTGATGGCAGTTGGTTTCATGTTTTTGCTATTGTGAATAGTGCTGAAATTAACATGCATGAGCAAGTATCTTTTTCTTTTCTTTTCTTTTCTTTTTTTTTTTTTGAGTTGGAG